ACCGCGGATTCATCTTCAGGGGCATATTCACAGAACTGTAGCAGAAACAGTTTGTTTTCCGTAAAATTTAAACGTGCAGAAAAAATTGATAAACGCCTTGAGTGTGTTCTGATTCGTTGTGTCAGCCATAACCATCTGGCCCTGCGGAGTTGGCATAAGATGATGCGGTGGCCCGTCTGTTCCCCGAACGGCGATTTGCTTTGGCCAAATTTAGTCTCAGCACCGAATATGGATTGGGAAAATCGTTGCACTTGTTGATGCATTGGGGGCCCGTGAACTATGAGTCAAGTAATTCTCGGCTCACTCGATCATCACCTCTTGCGAGAAAATTCTGCCTCATCAAATTTGAATGTGTGGCCGGGTCTCGTCGAATGAGCCGCAACTTGACAATTGGCATCATTTGCCCGCACTGCTACCGCGTGTTCGGCACTTCGTGTCCTGAGAAGTCTGCCAGTTTCTCCGACATCCCCACGTGTTCGACAATTCGCGTCTTGAGAAGCCTGCCAGTTTCTCCGACACAGTTGCTTTGTCCGCAATTACACCAGATCCTGTAGACGACTCTAGATGTTTCTTGCCGTGGCAGTGGGTCTTTCGGTTTCATGAGGTGACACCTTATGGTTGCTTCCGGAACCATAGGTAATGGCACTGTATCTATCATATAAGGTTAGCTAATTCATTTGAATTTCAGTAAGTGTGTCTGAAAAACTCATTGAGAGGTATTCTGGAACCGTTCTCAGTGTAATTTCTGTAATCGATGACAGTTTTCTCTTATTGCAATTATTATACAACTTGATTTTCACTAATTTGTTTGACTTAAGAAGTCTATTTGGCAATTTCTCATCGAACCTGTAGAATTCTATTGATAATGAATGTAGAAAAGTTAAACTGGGCTAATAAATATCTTAGGACTAAAACGCATTGTTTACACACCGCCCGCATGGCGAAATGTCATTGCACTAGTGGAGGGGGAAAAAAGAATTGTTGTGAGTATTTCTCATGGATCGAGTACGCGGAGTGAAAATCACCGTCACGTGCATGGAGTAGGCGAATGTCCCCAAGGGGCGGGGTCGACATGCGATCGCCACCTGGCCTCAGCCTCGGCCACGGAAGAGAGTGGCTGTATTAGCATCTTCGGACAACAAAGCACTTGATTTATTAGTCATATAGCCACTGCCTCGACTGTCGTTAGAACCTGTTGACATGGGACCTTGGAGAAGTGGGTTGCTGTCCGGTAGACAACCTGAAAGACTTCATTAGTATCGACTCGGTGAGTTGTATCTAAAATCTGTGCGAGAATACAACTCGAGGTCGACCTGGTTTCCACTTTACTTAGTCAGGCCAGTATGTGTCTACTTAGCCTCTTTTACAGGCGCCTCATTATTCGAACAATGTATCCTGCTCTACAGGAGCAGAATAAGTGCACATCGATGAGGCCTTCAACAGGAGTCTGTCTTTACTTTCCAAGCCTAGAAGGGGAGGGTTCGTGAAGAATACGCATAAGTTCACCGCGAGAAAAGCAAATTTTTCTCTCATCCCCTGGTGAAAGAGGTTCATTCCACGCACGTGACCCCTGACCAATGCTCACATGCTATGCTATTTTCCTCCTCCGCCAGTGGAATTACCTCTATATGCAGATCTCGCCTGCCGGCCGTGTGATAACGATGAGTTTTAATAATAAGACATTTATTAACTCTGTCCAAATATGCTATTTTCACCATCAATGCAATTATACAGGCCGATATTGAATTGCCGAAGACGAGTGTTTACTAAATATACGGTTAAAGTTGTTTTAGTTTGCAAAATGATCGTACTGCTTATTATTACGGCTCTTATGCCAAGACAGAGTACGTCGCCAAAAGTGATCTACAAGGTGGACTCAGGTTATAATCATTTACTGAGCACTGATTATTGCATGTTTTTATTCCTTTGTAGATATCAGTCGTTCAAAACAATAAACCGTTTACTCATATAATAAAGTACGCATTTTTAATATAATCAATATTTCAGACTCCTACATGCCAATACCCCTCTTCACGACGTACGGCAGCCTAACACGCCGATGTCGTCGTCGAAAAGCGCGTACAGTCTTCAGTGACCAGCAGTTGTCAGGCCTTGAACTCCGATTTCAAAGGCAACGTTACTTGTCGACACCAGAAAGGATTGAATTGGCCTCCCTCCTTGGGCTCTCAGAAACGCAGGTATTTAGAACTAGATTGCAGATAGTTAAATGAATTCACTATAGTACTGCTCATTCATTTATTATGACCGAAGACGAGAAAGCAAAATTGCGGTTTAGGTCGGAATTGCGCTTTAGCCCGACACTTGCAAAAACAAGAGTACGCACGGACACACAATATGTCCAACCTTATCTTCCCTGGAAGTTGGCGTGAACACAGATGTTTTGCGGCCGGTTCCCGTTGCGATGTTCTCTTATGATTCATCACTGCCAATTCGTGTAGGCACTGTGTTGGATTTTTTGGAACTTCAGACACCCGCCCCGCCATTCGTTTAAATTACTTTGTTCGACTGGCAAGCATCTAATTTTATTAATTTTTCTATAGAACCTCCTTCAGTTAAGCACGTTTCACCCAACTCGTGAATCGCTGAACATGTAGAATTCCTCGTTTTGTAAAGTCAGTGGACAGACGAAAGACCGGAGACGAATTCGGAGACATGCTCTTGGGGGGTGGGGGTGAGAAGGGGAAGAGTCCACGAGATTGGATTTAAATGAAGCATCTGCAATCGCATTTCCGAGGGGAAAAAACCAACAGTTAGGTAGACACTGTCTCATTTCAGCGAACCCCTCATAAACTGACTAATCTTCTGCATTCTTCCAAGACAGAACCCTACCCCACCAGATTAACGCAGATGCAAGTCATTTAACTAAACAAACCATTTACTTATGTGATAACAGTAGGCATATAATTAATACCTAAACCTCATACATGACACACTGGCTACTTCACCCACTGTCCTCCTCCTCCGCCGGCATAGGTCAAGACCTGGTTTCAGAATCGTCGGATGAAACACAAGAAGATGCAAC